AACTCAAAGACATTACATTATTGTGGCACATTAGTAGAGTATTTAATAGAAATATCTAACATATCATATCAAAACGTATCACTTAATGTAAAATGTTGCCACAACATTTCATTTTAACGTGTTATTTAAAAATATAATCAGAATTAATGTATTAAATTTGACAGCATTTAACACCAAACCCTTTTATAGCCACCGGTTTAAACAGTTCATAAATAAACAGTTCAGGTTTTTATACCTGTTTTTTCCCCCCCATGTAATCTAAAATGTGTGCATTATGAATAAATATTAAATTTTAACTAACAGAAAAATCCGCATTAACTGCAACCCCAACATGAAGCCAACTTCGCCCGGGCTGCAGGCCGCCAGTAGGGAGGTCCTAATCTAGCAGAGCAGCTGGGAGCATTTTACCACGTGATAGGCGAGATGTTAGAGAGCAGCCATCATCATTTCACCTAATTCATGTTCAGCCTGAAATGGTAAAAGGTAAGACGACAAGGAAACGGAAAACTGCGATGGAGTAGGTGAAGCCTGAAGCCTCTCCCGGTCTCATCCACTCCTCTGTTTCACTGCCTGTCTCACAACTTTAACAAGGTCTGTTTTTGTTATGTGCTTTTCATCCCCTTCTCCCCGTTTTCTGCTCATATGGTGGCCGCCGAAGAGCTCCTTTCGGTTTCACTGTTTCTCTTCACATCACACTTTACGTATTTGATACCGAAAAACAACACTCGCGAAGAGGTGTCACTTCCCTACCGTCCGCTTCAGTAAAGCAATAATGCAATAATGCTCTGCTCCTGCGGTTTGTGCCCGCCGCTCATCAACATGAGCCATGTTTTGTTGCTGTTTCTGCTAGCACGGCTTGTTGCCGCTTGTTGTGTAACCAACGTTTCGAACGCGACCGAGCCTGAAGGTAAACGGTCGCAAATTCTACAGTTTCTTCCAACGTTCGATTCGCGCGCCGTCCCCGTCCGGGTGTCGCGCGTGGACGTTCCACCCGGGTGCTACCCGGCCCCACGAGCGCCTGTGTGAAGATTACAGGCTGCTTTTTAACATGAGCTAGCACGGACTGCTACTATGGGTTAACTGCTCAGAAGGCCTACATGCTCTCAGTTGTTTATTAGGTGTGTTTATCCAAAGCTAACGCTAACAGACAATGCGTCTGACGTTCATAGAGCTTACGGTTAGTTACGTTTTTAGTTAAAACTGTTTTTTTAGAGAGGTGTTCACTCAACTTTATGGTCATTCTGGGGTCTGTCGTTAGTGGTGCTGTTGACTTGTATTGTTTGCGTTATATCGAGACATTCTGTCTAATGTTTGGTCCTCTTGGATATAAATGTGTGCTGAAGACTTGCTGCTAACATTTTGTCTACCCAGTTTATATCAGTGAGGATTAGGTGATGTGAAGATTTCATGTTACCATTATCTTTGGCCCAAATGATTGCGATACACAATATTATCACGATATTCCTCAAGATATACTTAAAGTTCTTTTTAAAAGGCACTAAAACATACTGGACTCACTTTACCTGACATTTTATTATCAAAGTCCATACAGTACATTTTTATTGCATCACTGATAGGACACCTTAAATCCCTGTTCCTGTAGTTTATAATCCATCATAGTATTTCCTCACATCCTGTTTAATGTTTTTTAGGTTGGATACAATGGCCCAGCCATGGGGACAGGAAAGATATGGGTTCCCCCTTGTCCCCTTGTTTAAAGTATATCAATATAGGACTGTACTTAGTGAGCTTGACAGCTTTTTCAAGTTACTTGTGAGGATATTCACGATTATCCCAATAATAAAAAAAATCACCACGACACATTGGTGTGGTTTTTATTGCAACACGTGATAATATTGTTTATCATCCCATCCCTAGTGAGGATAGATATTTGACACCTCAGTATACTGTAATACAGTTCAGTAGCACCCTACAAAATGACAATGAAGTTGAATCAACAAAAACTGAACGTAAAGCTTTCATGGAGGCCTGATATATTGCAGAGCTGTTGCGTTAGACTGCATTAGTTTTAGTTTACGTATCCCTAATAAACTGGCAATTTAGCGTAGGGTACAGACTTGCGCCAAAGAAAAGTCAACTAAACCCCTTTCAAGACTCAAACCCGGTTCAGTTTTAATTTCTTCATAGTATTATATTCAGCAACACTTTCCTGACATGACACATTCAAGCTTTGTATCTGTACAATGGATGACTTTGTCTTTGGTAAACCTTGAGCTTTATGTACTCAGCAGGTCAACAAACAGGCTAGGGCTTAAGTTCAGGTGGGCCCGGTCTAAATTGGGCCTTACAATAGAGACAAGTGTTTCCTTGGCTCAGCAAATCCAGCGAGCCTTTCCTCTTGCATTTTAATAAGCTCCAAACCAACCCAGGGGCCCGGGAACCCCAACCAGTCCAGGCCAGGATCCAGCCCAAATATAGCCCTCCACAAGCCACCTTTTATGCTCCAAATGGTATGTTTGTTTCCAAGTCGAAGGTAAATGTGGGAAGATCTTTTTATTGTTCTGTTTTAGTTTTGATTTACTTGTGCATGTTGTGTTGCGAGGTGGCCCGTTGCCACAAGGAGAGGGAACGGTAAACTCCTGGCTCAAAGAGAAATGAACGCAAATGAACATGTTTCACTCTCCCTGAATGCTGGACAGGCATTGAAAAAGAGATTGTTTACATTCAGATGCTGGCCACCCGCTGCTTGCTTTTTCTTCCCTCCTGTTTTCCAATCACCGAAGAGACATGACCCATTTAAATGGTTGTTTACTTGCATTAGAAGAAGAGCCAAAGCACTTCTCAATGAACTCTTGTCTACAATTCAATTAGAGTGGCCCTCCCAGCAGCACAGTTTTCCACATTACACAATGCTCTCTTCAGCCTAGCTGCAACACGGGCAGAGGTACGACGACCAAAGAGCAGCAGTAGTTACACCTGCGCCCACTAAAAGTCAAATTATATGTCTTTGGGTGTGGGGTATCGGACAAAATAGTTTTTTCTATTATAAATAAGGGCCTGGCTATTGGCTTTAAGTAGTCCAATTGAGTGTAAAAATGAGCTATAAGATGTTGTTGACCAGCTAGATTCAGGCTCTGCAGTGAGTGCCCTGTCACAGCTGTGGTCTATTGTAATGGAGCCGGTGAAGGAAAGGACAGCAGGTATTCATCAGGCTTTTATTGTTAAGTTTCTGTCTTCCTGAAACAGTTTCTGCCCCAAAAGAACTGGTCCAGCAGTGTCTCCCTCAAATACAAGAATGTTTTTTTAAATTTTATTTCTTTAAGCCAGACGTTTTATTACTGCTTTTCCTGTTGCCCTCTGACTAGACAACCATATAATAAGAAATGGCTGAAGGTTTTTCCCCTCTTTTTTCCACCTATTTTTGGAGATTGTGGGAATAGTGGCTGAGTAACGTGTCAGCCCATGGAGTGCCTGGGATCTACTTCTGTGCTCCTTTAGCACTGGGTTTCATGTTCATTAGCTTTTGAGAAACCAAAATGATAATACCAAATCAATTTATCAGCTCATTATAAAGCTTGTGTTTTTATCAGTTGATCCAATACGGTTGATTTTGATTGTGTACACTCACCAGGAAAGAAAGTTGTCCCCTCTGTCGGGAACTTTGTGTTGTAGCTGCTTGATAAGTGGTAGAAATCTGCGACATCATGTTATCACAAATTCTAGGGTTGACTGCGCTTTATCAAGAAAAGCTGCAGACGAAGTAATGCGTAAAATTGAGGACAACTAATCAAATGAGGTTTGAATGTTTTTTTTCATGTTTGTGTGCCCTTTCCCTAACTGACTCACTTAGCTGGAAGAGGACATAATAACACGAGTGTTTACAAGGAGAGCTCTGAACACTATATGGACATCTGTGTTTTATAAACTGCGTAGGAACTGATGAGAATACTAGGGTCAAGGTGGCATGTTGCTCCTCCGTCACACATCCTGGATGGATCTAATTTAAATTGGTTCCTGAACGTATGCATCAGGTACATTTAACTGAGAATGAATCACAGTATGTCACTGATGTGTTATGGTCGTTTGTATGTCTACAGAGGCTACATCAGGCAAAACTATTGTAGTTATTAGTCAGTACGTCTAGTTTCTAGAAGTGCATATCCCTGAAATGATCGCTCAAATTCAATTTGTTCCAGTTAATTGCAGCTAAGCATGGTCAGATCATGAGTTTTTTTTTAGTTTTTTTTATGGATTACTCATAAACACAATGAATCCATACATAATGCTTTAGAGCACAACTGAGGAGCTTTATGTCAAAATGTTTCCACTGTTGGATAAAGTGTGTTTTCTTTATTGTTGGTAAAATCATCATAAAGGCATAAAGTTTAAACATACAAAGAACGTGTTTCCAGTGCTCTTCAGTTGTTAAACGAACAGATTTAGGCAGGTACCCTCTTAATTATGCTAGCTGACATTGTCTCTGTTGAGGTATATTTATTGTTATATGTTGCAGTATTGCAATATAATACATTTGTAGTCAATTGAGAAAGGGATTATGGATCAAATGTTTTTTGACTTATTGACAGCAAGTTCAATACCTGACAAATCAAAGCACACACCACTATGACGCAAACATTTTTTCCGTCATCTACATTTCCTACAATGGTTTGAGTACAACCAGATACATTACGTGATAGCTACTGTGGTATAAACAGTATATGGTCTCATGGTATACACTGCCACTGCCCGACCCTAGTTAGCTATGTGTTTAAAAGACTTTGTGCACAGCAGATAAAACAAATATGAAATGTTGAACTATTGCCTTTCAATCTGACACTGTAACTCAGCCAGTGTATTCTCTGTAATAAATTGAATCCATTATACGTAATCTTTTCAATCTAGCAGATGCGTTTTATGATAGTTGAGTGGCAGAAACTTGTTGGTCTTGTCTGTCTTGGTTTTCTCGATTTTATTATAGTGAACTGGCTAGGAGGGAAAACGAGCCAGAAAATACAGTCCACTGTCCGACTGCTCCAAACTTAAGAGATGAGTTGTGGTCAAACACGTCACAATAATAGTGACTGTAGGAAATGAGGCCATGGTCAGCAGATGCATGTTTTCCTGCTGTTATGTAATGGTAATGTTATCCGTGTCAGTCGGTATTTAGGTTTACATCTCAGATTTCTAAGGTCATGTGACACTGCCTTCTTTATGTTTCATACACTAAGCATCACAAGAAAACAAAGCCACCTCTTGAGGCCGCTTAACAACCCTGCAGTTAACATCAGTTGCTGTCCACCTAACCCAAATGAATCGAGTTAAAACACTGAGTGAATTTTCCATTAAATATAATCACACATTGTCACATTTCCAACAAATACTGTATGTCATTTCAGCAGAAGTAGCATGTTGTCACCATCAAAGGGTATGATTGCATGATAAGGATGGACAGTGTGCCTTATGATTATCTTGCTGTTGGTCTGAGTCTGATGTTCACATTTCTTGGTCCAAACAGAAAGATGCCTAATGAGATCCGTTAATATTTAACTTGTTTTGCCTTATTTTTTCCGTCTCCTCTGATCCCTCCAGGCAGGCTTCAAACAACACCTGGTCTGACCTTGGTCTGTCTGCATCGAGTGACACAAGAGCACCAACCTGCTTCTTGGGTTGCAGGAGCACAGTGGAGGAGAGGGTCTGAGGCTGATTACTCCCCCCATTTGTCTTTGAGGAGGGGGGAGGAGGAGGAGGAGGAGGAAGAAGGAGGAGCTGCTATAACCACCCAGAGCATGGGGCAAAAAGTCCCAGGTGGCATTAAAACCATTGATATGCGGGATCCGGCGTTCAGCCCCCTGAAGCTGGAGCTACAGGCCCTCAGTCACACCAAGCCATCTCGACTAGATCTGCTGCTGGACATGCCACCTGCCAGCCTGGACGTCCAGGTCCAGAACTCGTGGAACAACGATGACCGCTCCCTCAACATCTTCGTCAAGGACGACAACAAGCTGGTGTTTCACAGGCACCCCGTGGCGCAGAGCACGGACGCCATCCGGGGCCGTGTTGGCTACACAAGGGGACTGCATGTGTGGGAGATCAGCTGGGCTATGCGTCAGAGGGGCACGCACGCTGTGGTCGGCGTGGCAACTAGCGACGCCCCGCTACACTCGGTGGGCTACACAGCTTTGGTAGGAAGCAACGCGGAGTCCTGGGGCTGGGACCTGTGCAGGAGTAAACTCTACCACGACGGCAAGAATCACCCAGGAAAAAGCTACCCGGCGTTCCTCGAGCCAGACGACACCTTCATAATACCAGACTCCCTCTTAGTCGTCTTGGACATGGATGAGGGGACTCTGGGTTACATAGTGGATGGACATTATCTAGGAGTGGCGTTCAGAGGACTTAAGGGCAGGAAGCTGTACCCAGTGGTGAGCGCAGTGTGGGGACACTGTGAAATACGAATCCGGTACATAAATGGACTTGATCGTAAGTGCAAACTTTAAATGTTTTAAAGAAACTGCTGTTCTTTTCTCTCGTTAGCAACAGTGTTTTGCCATCCGTGATGATGTGTACAGCTCTTGCAAAACCAGTGGTATCATTTTATAAGTGCAATAAACAAAGGTGTGACAGTTCAGGGTTTGCCATACTGTCTAAGCAGGGATATTACTGCAGACGGGGTTACTGTAGAGCAGCACTACTGTCTGACTGACATCAGTAGGACTACCTCTCTGGCTTTTATAAAGCAGGACATGTGATCACATGTCATCATTTGTATTTGTGCCAGGCAGTCCAGATTGCATATAAATTAATATTTAACTGGATTCCTGAATCACCTAAAAAGATGTGGTGATCTCATTGTGACCTGCCCAAGTTTTTGTCATTAACTCTACTGTGCCTTCCTTTTTAAGCTAGACAGTGGTGCCTCCATTATAGATGTTAGTGTTCATCGCTCTGAAAACGATCCTTAATGTTCATGTATAAAAAACAAGCTGCATGTTTTTTGGTTTTTTTCCCCCCACAGAGAAATGCAAATTGTATTCCAATTGGATTAATGTCAATTATTTCATGGTGAGACGATCATGAGCTTTAAACGAGGGAATGTAGGTGCTTATCAAAACATGTTGTACTACCCGCATGTCCCAAGCGCTCTGTGCTCATTAGATTTTTATGTGCAGCTCGGATCTCTCGACCTAGTTTAGGCCTGTGGAAAAGAAGCGCTACAGATGCAGTGATATGCATAGGACCAGTTTCTATTGGTAGAGAAAGGATATCTCCAATCTTACATGTTAAAGGCAGTTTGTCTCTCAAAATGTACTGAAAGTTCTGATTGTTTGGATTCAGTATGCTAAAGAGTTTCTTCTGATTTTTCTGGCTCTGAAAGGTTTAATACTTGTTTGAAGCCCAGACAAAATGTGTCTTACACATTAGAAATTGTCAAGTAGCAAAATTGTTTAGTCAGATTCAGTTTTTACTGTATTGTTTTTAAACAAATGCACTAAACCTAAATGATCAAAACTGATCAGAAACACAAACACTTTGCTTTTACAAATGATTAATAGATTACAAAATGCTTCATCGATTTTAAATGTTTTGACAAATTATAGTTGTAGCACTAGAGGACAGACGTTTGCTGCATTCATTTGTTAGTTTGATCTTTTCCCTAGTACAAACTGAGAGCTGCCTAGATGTGGTAATGCCACCTCTGGGAATATTCATCCATTTCATTAATTCAGAGTGGATTTCACATCGGTGTGAACCTCCTCCTTGAATATCCTGCATGCACCATCTTGATTTTTAGGCTTTTCACATATTTCAAAACACAACACGACACAAATGTTGCAACATTTTTATAACAGGCCGTTCCCCCCTGTGTGCACTTTATTTTATGCTTGTGCCTGCACATTTTAATAGACAGTGGCCCCCAAGATTTGAATTAAAGCTTGACATTTTCATGCTCCTGAAATGAGATTCAGCCATTGCTAACACATAAAAACATCTTCCAGCTCTTCCTCACTCCTGTCCCCCTCTCTCCCCCCAGCTGAACCGCTCTCTTTGATGGACCTGTGTAGGCGCTCGGTGAGGGTGGCATTAGGAAGAGACCGCCTGAGTGAAATCCATAGACTGCCCCTGCCGGCCTCTCTCAAGAACTACCTGCTCTACCAATGACGGCGCTGACGGTCCCAACACACACTCAGCACGCCCTCGTCTCTTTCTCATGTTTCTCTGGGATCCTTCTTGGGTTGAACCCGTTCGACAACATTGCTCAAGCCTCCAGGACTGACTCAGCCTTCCACAAGTATGCGTCTGTGTCAGTGGCTGGACTCCTTTTGAGTTTCTTATCCTGTTTTTATGACTCTTTGCAATTGTACTCTCTAACTTTATAAAAATCAGGAATCACTGAGCACTATGCACATGCTGATCCAGACGATGCCCTGTGACAGTCACCATGTTGGTGTACCTCCTCCAGTTAATAAGTTAGTGTGGTGGCATATGTGGTCAGTAACTCTGCTGTGACCTCCAGACTATATGAATATGAATTTCTATCTTGTGGCCTTTTTTTAAAAAAAATAATAAAAAAAAAATTAACTATTATTGGTTGTGTTAAAACAAAACTGTGTGATGGAAATGTAAACTGAGCATTGGTGAAATGCACTGCCAGAATCTGACCACAAGGGGGCAGCACACACGTCAACCTGTACATCCTCTCAAATTGAGAATTATAAGGTGAAATCCTAGTTGCTTTTAGAAATGATGTTTTTAAATGGCTCATAAATTTAAAAAAATGGGCGGTCCACACAACAGACAGGAGATGCTGACCACTCCAGAGTGAGTCCGTAGTGCGGTGTGAATGAATGCACTGTGAGGCAGCTGAAGAGCAGCTCCGACCACGCACTGCACTATCCGGTATCTCTGCCATATGGAAGAATGCCCCACAGCTTACCATCAAGGCATCCGACAGGAACATCATCAGCAGAAATTTTAAAGGAAGGATAATGTCACTGTGATTATTTGTAGCATGCATCTGCAGGAAATTCTTCTCAATACAATCACAATATCTTTTTTTTTTTTTTAATCTGTTCTGTCACTCCTGCTTTTTCTAGTGCAGTAGTTTTCATGCTGTCGGGGCCCAAGAGTGCCGTTTTTGTTTTTGTTTAAATTCAGCCACTCTCTCTCAACAGCTGATTTTCACTGATTTGCACATATTCAGCCAGAGAATTGGAAACTAACCAACTGAAGTGGTTCGTTGGAATGAAAACCTGATACTCTTGGGTCTCACTGGCACATAGCTGAGAACCATTGATGTAGTGATTTGTCTTTTTATAACATGTAAAGGGTAAAAAAAAAAAGGGTTTAGGGAAACAGACTACCGGTATGTTGGTGAACGGCACTGTGTCTGAATCGGCAAAAACTTCAAATTAAAGGCACCATAGTGACAGAAGAAGACAATCCACAAAGTGCTGCACAAATGTAACAAAAGAAGGTCAGATTGCCAATGTATTGTCAAACGCCATATCATAGACCTGTTGACTCTAGTATTTTTAAATGTGCAGATGTGGTCCTTATTCAGCACTCAGCTGATGTGGACACACTGTGCCACACCTTACTTTTCCTTGCTTGCAACTTCCATTTTATTTGTATTCCTTGTTGTAGATTTGTTTGTAAGTATCTATTAAAGTTTATTTCAAAGTATCTATTTTGTATTGTGCATTGTACAGGAACCTGCTGTGAAAACTGAGGCTGAAAGTGTTACAAATGTACTACTGCCACTAAAGAAATGAGATGTTCTGTACACTGTAACTATTTTTACCCACACAGGTGTTTTTCACTTGATTAGACTTCTTCTCAGTACAGTGGGTTTGTGGACAGATTGTCCTTCAATGACATCTTACCTCTGGTGTTTGTTTTGATTCTCGGTGACCTGCACAGATGACATTTTGACTTGTTCATTGTAGGAAAAGCACAGGTTGTAACTAATAAAGGATGGCTGAGTTCCAAGTAGTTGCTGCTGTGCTATCACACTGTCGTGGTTTACTGAGGCACTAAATAGGGCAGAGCTATCATTTATGTTCTTAGTAACGTCTGTGCTTTTCCTACTGTGACAGGTCAACATGTCTGCTGTGAAAAAGGTCAATTAGGGCAAGACAAGTTGCACTTTAGCAATCATACAGTTTGGTGATCTCACTCCACCTGATTAGAGGTCCAATCAGCCAGAATAATTGAGAACACCTATGTGGATGTGCACAGCATTTAAAGGTCAAGTGTGTAACATTTAGGAGGATCTATTGGCAGAATAGATAAATTATAAATTTAATATCCATAGGTATGTTTTCATGAGTGTATAATGTTTTTATAATCTTTTCGATACGAAGTTTTTAATCTACAGATGCTGTGGTCTGCCATCGTCATCAAAAACAGACGCCAGCTGTATTTAGTTACTTAAAAAACTTATGAAACTTCACCGCTAGATGGCACTAAATCCTACACACTTCACAACAACACACTACAAAGTGCTTTATTTAAGGTGTTCGGGGCATAAAGGTGAGATACTAAACACAAGAACAGACATAGAGTTTTGAAAGAGTCAAATAAAGATGGATTAAACAAGAGAATACAAATTAAAGTGCAGTGATACAAATAGTCATTTTTAGTTTAATAAACGGCAGAAACAAAAGCCCTGAATTAAAAGAACTGAGACGATCTGAGAGGTCTGGGTGGTTGATAACGGAGCAGCAGATCAGAAATAAACCATTCAGTGCTTTAAAAACCCAACAGTTTAAAATTCTACAATTTTTGATAAGCCAAACTGAACAAATCAATTATATTCTAGTCAAATCACACAGAGTCAATAAAGAACATGTTTTCAGACTCTTTCTGTCCATAAATATTACAGGATCCTCTTTTTTTTTTAAATAATTTGATGATAATTAATAATTTTTTACGGAGCCCCCCTGGTGACATTGGATAAAAAAAATTTAAAAAAATGTGTGGCCACGCCTTACTATCTCGTGGCCACGAGATAATAACGCGCCAGGTTGGAATCAAACCCGGGCCACTGCGATAAGGCCTCAGTACACAGAGCCCAGGATCCTCTTTTAATGTTGTTGCCCTTCTTAAAGTCAGTTTAAGCCTTCTGGGAAACATCCTGTGCCCTAAAACACACCCTGGGACTTAAATTATATCTTAGAATATGAACGAGAGCGATGTGATTGTACACACAATGTGACCTTCTGCAATCACTTGCATGATTAGATCTGTTTAGTCATAAAATGTGTAAATGTGGCTCATTTAGCACTTGGCTGAACACAAACACCCGGCTAACACCATATGTTTTTCTCTCGCTCGCTGCTTCTTTTTCATTTGCAGTCCCTACAGGGATTTATTTTAATGTGTATATAACTTTTATTACTATTTATTATTATTAATATGTTGTCTTGTGCATAAAGGAAGGAAAAATACTGTGAAAAATGTTGCCAAACAACAAGCTACAGGTATAATACAGTTTAAATACAAACTCAGTATTATGGTGCATTGAGTTACGCTAAATTGCAAGAAATGAAAAAGCACTTTGACTCACATTTTAAACTTAAAGCTAAAATTATACAGCCAGTATTTCAGAAGATATGAGAAAGACTGTTTAAGCTTGATCACCTCATGTTCGCATTGAAAAGTGCATTCATTTAATTTTAGTGAAAGTTGCTTCTTAAAAAATACATCAAGATTTCGTTACAGGAAAAAATGTAAACACATGGGTTTACACTGATTGAACATGAGGCAAACAAGGTCCATGCTTTAGAAATAAAATGAATATAAATGAACCGAACACTGAGGGAAACCAGTGTTGAAAGGGGGGGCAGGGAGGGATGGGAGGGGCGCATGCATCAGTTTATTGCATCAGTCTCCAACTGCTGTGACAGTTTCAGTGATTCAGAAACTGAGACGCTTTAATCCCTGTAATGGTTTTTACATAAGGCTCTGGATTAGGTTCAGCTACATGTATTTGACTACACACACACACACACGGTAAGGACAGTAGTTTTAAAAAACTACAATGATTAAAAATAAGATAGATGAAACAAAGTGACAACAGAACTAATCACAGCTGATAGGACAGCAGGACAAAAGGAACCATCTTATAACTGTATGTTTCATATTCGGTCACTTGGGGTCAGTATTTCCAACTCCTACATAACCATGAACACCAGACAAGATCATCCAATGGTGCAAGAAGTATTCAGATCTTACCAATACAACAATTTACAAATACTCTGTTAAAAAGCATTAAATATTCTACTTTAGAAAGAAAGTAGGTAATAAATAAGTAAATAAGTATTTTCAGTTAAATGTATTAAAGTAAAGGACGGTTGCACTTGTTTTTTTTTTGTACATAATTTGATTGTTAATACTGATGCACCAGTGTGTACCAATGGTGTGTATGCAGCATTTTACAGTTGGAGCTGGTTGAACTCATTAGTGGGTCATGAGATTATTAATCTGTCTAAAACACAAAGCTGTATAATTTTTTAGACTTTGGGCTGAATCTTTGCTTATTTTGTGAAATATTGGATTGCATTACCTCTTTGGACTATTATAATAACATTATTATATTATAATTATGAACCCATCTGAAAGGTTTAGATGGGAAATGTTTCTTTGATTGAACTCAACATCTGGATTGTGACAAGAAGTAAAGTACAGGTTACTCAGTACTTGAGTAAGGTTACTTAGTTACTTTTAACCACTGCTGACAAAATATGTAAAATATGTTAACTGTTTTATTTTATGTTCATTTACAGAAGCTCAATTGGAATGTTAATGTTGGTAAGACTCACAAAAAGAAACCCAAACCTTGTTGTATGTATATTTATGTATTGATTATATGAATATATTTATGAAATTGTTCACTCAGTACGTAAAAAGGTAAATAACAAAGCTTCAAATCCATTGAAACAAACTAAATTCAGATCTCTGTCAAAGAACAAAATAGCTGAACACAGTTAGTTTTGTTTACATGTAAACTGTGTAAACTGTTATTTCAAATAGGAAAAAAAGCCAGTTCGGCTGGTTTGACGAGACTGGTCTGACACTGTGCCACAGATGTTATTGTTCAGACATACAGACAAACAAGAGGCTATGAAGGTGATTGAGTAACACTCTGGTTTAAAGATACCCTCATCAGGAGTCACATTCCCACTTTTATTACACAGCGCTGATTGGTGGACAGCACATCCCATAACATCACATGATCTTATGGCCCGGTTAACAACTCATCCAGTCTTATTTCGTCTCCAATTATTATCTCTCCATGCCTGTTTTTTTTTTTTTTTATCAAAGTAGAGGAAAGGCTGTAGAAGCTGCTATAAAAGTAACAGCAAACAGATGTTATATAATCAACACAAGCACACAGATAAAAATGTACCACCGTGGAATGTGTTAAGTTTTACAGGATATTTGATCATAATTTCCAGGCATTGAAAACAATCCACTCCTGTGGGATTATTTGCATTTACAAACCTCTCCAACCAGAAAGGTGATATACCAAAGGGAGTGAAGTGTATCTTTTGTAATATCTGTTTGAACAATACTTGTAGCTCTATATTTTTTTTCTTTAAAACTTTCAATTTTCAAGTATTCAAAATATGCAGACACGTTTCATACACAAAGGTAAATTCTGTACTGCATTACATACTGCATCCATTATGTCAGTGGTTCCCATCGTGGGGGTTTGGACCACTAGTGGTCGCCAAAGCTTTCATTGGGGG